CGCTGCAGAATATCATTTCGAACGAAAATCTAGCCATGAACACAACACAAGATTAGTATCATTGGCATTCTGGAATTATCACAGTCTCGCGGTATTGGGGAATAATGCTCATACATCATTTTGGGTCGTTTCCGGGCACTGGTCATTTGGGTGTTATTATTATGCAGACGATATTCCCGAGGTACTTGGTGTGCGTGCTGACCTGTTTCTAATTCCAGCTCCCCTAATACAATATAGCAGGAGCGATCACGCCTACAATTCTGGAGCGTCAACAGTTGGCTCAGCTACGATGTGTGCTATCACTACGACAACTTCTTGATGATAAAAAAAAAAAAACGAGCGCGCTTCTTGACCTCAGTCAAACAGTATACTTCGAATCGATAGCTGACCTGAAAAAGAAGTAATGAAACAATCGGTATCAATTTAAATATAGACTTATTTACTATTTGACTAGGTTGTACCAAGATGACGCTTCTGAGCTCCTGCATCGTACATTGTCTGAGCATGACAAACGATTACGTCACTCGATGGGTATATGTGGATGTCCATTTCGGCGGAGTGCCGTATTTCCTAAACCTGTTTCTGTTTCTGCTTTCTCCGGCTATATTAGTTTTCCTACTTTCTGCTAAGTTTTATACGTGTCCACCCAAACTTACCTCGTTTCCCATGATCGCCGTCTCTGTATATGAGAAAAACGTTGATTTACCATTACGGTCACTAAGTTACTGGCCACGGTTTGTGTGACGAGCTTTATAACAAACGGAAACTGCCCCTGGTTTTTAATTTGCTCCTTTTGGCCCCCCTTTCGTCTCGCGGTTCTTTCTCTGCCATCGAGTGATTTGACGGTGCTGCCGCGGCCACTACCATTGATCGTGTCTTCAAAGAGCTAATGAAAAGAAGTATCAAGAAGAGACATTGACTGTTCTTGACAATGTCTACGGTTGACGATGACAGCGCGATCGAGTACGAGGAGGTCAGCGCAACATCGCTCGCTAACATCTCTACATAACCAAAAGATATTATCTACGAGGCCGTCAATCGTTCATAACGACTCAAGCAGCCAGGAGAACATACAGAGAAGCGACTATATGTATGATCATGAGACTACAGGATCAACCAGCAAAAACCGCGTTGGCCCGCCAGGTTCATTGTTGGCTGGTTCTTTCGGATGGTGGGGTAGTTTGTGCGGGGTGAGTCCGCTGCGGCTGCTACCCTACAACGAAAAGGAGTGCCGGGTCTGGAGAGGGGGGACGAGTTATTGGGAGAGAAACGGGCAGATTCAGAGGGGAGGAGCTGGTCGGCCAATACGACTCCTAGTAGTAGTAACACTAAGGGAGTAGGTTGTGACAGGGGTTGATTCGGCGGGGTTTTAGTTGGGGCTGAGCCCTAGGGGGTAAGGGCAGGGTCGGTTGAGGCCTCTTTGACGATAGGTTACTGCTGCTGCTGCTGCTGCTGCTGCTGTTTCTACCATGGATGTTCACTGTTAGCTAAGGCGATTCTGCCGATAGTGACGGCTATGATCTGAACTCCGTTTTCAAGTGTAGCGACGTTCGCTCGTTTCAGTCGGAATTGAATCGACGAACGGACAATGAGCGCTTACCGGCTAGGTCGTCAGGTTAGATTCTGGCTGAGGGTACGCAGCTAGCATCGTCAGTCAGACATGGAGCAGTAGTTTCGCTGCGATTTCGCTATGAGCGCCACAGACCGAACAGAACGCTGAAGAACGAAGATGAGGATGAGAACAACAGCAAGCAGAGGCTGCAAAGGCTGACCGTCCGGCTTACGGGCGCCTGTGGAGAGGGGATGGAGCCCTACTACGAAGGAATTGGAGTTCGTTGGATCTAGTAGCAATGAAGAGCGAAGGCTGGGGATGAGGAAAGACCCCGAGGTTTACTCGAAGCGCAAGGGGGGGGGGGGGAGCCGGTCGTAGTAGGTTACGCACCGCTTTTTTTCCTCTCTGCTCACAGGGCGACTTCCAACTCTACAGGACTAAGAGGTTCTGCCTATATGTTTCTGCGATGAGTCTTACAACGATAATTGTCCTCCTTCATGTGCGTGTGGGAATAGCAGTGCGTACGCGAATTCGTACAGAAGTACGCGCGCGCATAAGGGCTCCACTGCAATAGATCAATAGGCCGCGAGAAGATAACTATGAAAAAAAGAGCCTGAGCTCAGGAAGGAGCAGACTTTGTCTTCTATCTGCGCTTCGTACTATAGTTGGGGCACAGCGTCGGTCTATGGTCGTCTGTCGCCTTCATCCACCGTTACCACCATAGCTGTCGTCATCTTCTTTACTTTGCAGCACTGCCTTCTGCATCGTTGTTGTAGGTACAGGTTATGGACTTTTATGAATCGTCGTTTGTCACTAGGCCACAAATCGCCTAAGTCAAACGAGTTGTTTGCTGGGTGTTGGCCTGTGTGTATTTGTTGGCAGGAGGATGTTGGATTTGTATGAAGTTCTGTGCCTGTACTGTTTTTATATAACCGCTACAGAATCAGCGATGAGGGAGACTGGTAATAGTAAAATATATACGTGTCTAGAAGGGCAGATCTGAGCTGTGCACATTGCTCATAGAGCTCAATACTCAAATGTTCCACTTCAAATAAATAATGGGGAAACCTTGATCAAACGCGAAAGGCTTGTTAGAAAAGGTCGCAGGATTGTGAAACAAAAGCAATCCTGTCGAGACAAAGCAGGTTTGATCTTTTCTGAACTTTTACATATCTGCACCAAATCAATTTATATATGGGTATGGGTACTTCTGCGTTGCTCTAGGTTAGCTTTAACCTAGTTGATATTGAAACTTGTTGCTTATCTTTTTTTCTGTTTATATTGTTTGATAAGATTGATGATGTCAGATACGTTTGTCAGATGGCACCGTTGCGTTAGTGAGTTGAAGATGTTGGTAAGTATCTTCTGCAGAATTTTCACGAAGCTTCGATGCTCGTCGCAGGAGCAAGGCTTGACATCATACAAACTTTGAGCCTCGACCAGGCCATTGTCTGTTTGCAGCAGTCCTATGGTCTATCAGATGAACCAACCACTATCATCAGAGATAGAGCCGCCAACCCTGTCAACGAACCAGCGTCCTTGCCAGCCCACTCTGCCGGTAGAAGTAAGCTGGGAAAGGACTAGCCTGTTAGATGGGAGAGGGCAAGACTACGATAGAAGAGTCTACCCCTTCGTGAGCGAGCCTCATGTCTGCCATCGCACTCTCATATAAACAGACTTATAGATGAGTGGACACTCTAACCCCTTGTGGGGTGCTAAAGCAAGCAAAGGAGTAAGCACCAACCTTCCACCTTGGATACACATGTGTACGGGATGGAGGTTGGTCGATAGCTACGGGCCAAATAAGCGGCGGACATCTTTGTACTGACGAAACCTCCATATTGAATGAGCGAAAACCAGTCAGCGAGATCTTGGTCGTGAGTAGAGCCAGATTCAGTTAGGCTGGCAGTTCCTCGGCCTGTTGGTATTACGTTGCCTTTTCTCTTCGTTTGATGGCGCTGCCTGTACCACTGGCACGTTTATGCTGCTTGGATAGTTTCTCACCCACATCTGTCTGTCTGTCTGTCGAATTTTCTCTTTCTCTCGATCCATTTACTCTATTTCTCCTGCCGGCTGGTCCGCGGCCTGCGAAGGCTCATCGCCCCTCTTGGGACCGTTCATCCTTTTTGGACGCGGCTAAGAACAGGCTGCACCACAATTCGGCATCCTGAACTACCAGCCAACCTTAGGCAGCACTAGTCATAGTGGTGGTAGTACTTTGAGTCGCTGTTGAATCTGCTAGCTGTAGCTAGCTCCAGCAGCGTGAGCTTCAGGCCCCAGAGCGACGAAGTAGCCATGAACAAGGGCTGAAGAGAGGGTGAGAAACGAGGAGCGAGAGAGCTCTTTCTTGTTCATCGTCGTCGTCGTGGTTCGTGGATGAACATACACACACACGCGAACACACACGAAGCACACGACACACAGATTCACACACTCGGCATCCAAGATGGCCGATGCGTAGTTTGCTGCGGCTGTAACCGCTGCGGAAGCCAGCGCCGCTCCTGGGCCTGCTTTTGGCCCAGCAGGGGGAAGGAGGGACGGGGTGGGGTGGGGGACGCGAACTGAACGCGAAGAGCGGGCGGGAAGCCGACCCAGCCGGTAGCGACCAGCGAAACACCGGGTGGTGATGGTAGAAACTGCTGCATCAGGCGGCTAGACAAGCAAGCAGGCAGGCAGGCAGCGAACAGGAGCTGTGTTTGGGCTAAGCCAACAGCAGCGACGAGAACAGTGGCGGCGGCTACAGTGGAGGTGAGGTTTTCAACCAAACCCAGTGCTACGGCGGGTAGCTGACTGGCCGTCTATCAGAGGCGCTCGTTAGGAATACATATGCAGAAGGAATACTTTGTGCTATAGAATTTGTAGTTTTTCATCGATTTCCGCCGGTGACAGGCGCGACCGTTGCCGTGGAAACGTGTGTTGAGTAAGTGTGCAGTGTTGTCACGGATGGGAGAAGAAAAAATTCGATGAAAAAGAATTGAAAATAGGAGAGAAGGGAGAAAAACGGATACCCACTGTAACCAATCGACCTGTCCCCAATTTAATGTTAGGTTTAATGTTGTTATGTAAGTTTTCGTGCGGTGTCATTGTGTCAAAGTGAAGGTTGTCATTTACGCGGATGACATGGTGAGACTAAATAGAAAAAGTGTTACAGAATAGGACGGATACCTCAGAATTGGATAATATCACTGTGTACTTGGGATACCAGGTGGCGCGACATTGTTACAATAGTAGAATGCGTTCCGTAACTATAACCACTATATGATGTTAAAGTTTCTCAGTGAACTTGATTAGCGCATAGAGGAGATATCGTGCGGTCGTTGCGAAGGCTCTTCAGACTAGCAGGCTATTCGGGTGATGATTCTGTGTCTAAATTCAAGTGTGAAACCGAGGAAAACCCTAACGCGCGAAACTCATCGAATGTCATCGTTGTCATTGGCGATTTTTACAGGCTGCTGGTACCTAGTCGTGGTTGTATGAAGACGCAATCGGCCATTGCTCCGATTCGGTGTTTTCCCCATATCTGACCCGACATCACAATGAATAAGAAAACGATTGTTGACAACTATTACTACGGTGTTAGCGGTCTCAGTAAGCATACATGAAACTCATCGCAGCTCAAACTGTAAGTACTTGATATTTCGTTTTTGTTAATAATGATTGTGTCATATCATTTTTAGAAACTCTATTAGAGCTTCAATGTTAATGTCAGCGTTATTTTGTCATATAATCGAGAGATGCAGAAGGTGTGTATAAATAGTTGCTCGAGGTGCCTGTTTATCTACAAACAATAGATTCGATTGAATTCTGCTCCTAACCTATGGGCTATTACTTCTATCGCTATCACTGCATATTAGTGGTAATTTTCTATCAGGTACCGTGCAACAGAGGAGCAATATGCCTAAATGGCTTATTTTAGGTCACCTCCATCAAAATAAAGTTCAATGTTAAGGGAAGAGTCTGACTTGAGGACAGCGTGTGGCTTACCTGCGCTTGTTTGTGTATTGAAACTAATAATAAAACATAAAATAATGATGGTCGCATAGCGGCGCTAGTATCTGTTTCACGATGGTATGGTATATTGATCTTCTACGTGGGCGTAACAGGAAGCCGTTTGTGGCCAGCAATGAAAACAACAATCTGCTCCGAGAAAAACCGCTACTTCTCAGATTAAGATGAACTTGCGTTAATTGCGCAGCTGTCAAGAGAGTTGATGTCACACCCCTGTCTCTCTCTCTCTCTCTCTCTCTCTCTCTCTCTCTCTCTCTATATATATATATATATATATATATATATATATATATATATGTCACACCCCTGTCTCTCTCTCTCTCTCTCTCTCTATATATATATATATATACACATGAGATGTTTCGTAATCTTTGCTGAACTAAATAGATTGAAGAGTACAAACTTCGTCGGTGTCGTGGTCAGCAAATAGATGTCAAATTTGTCAAAATAGTCGAATCGGTCTCCTCTTGGACGAAGGCGCAGATTCAGGTGGAGTAAAACAATGATGTTTATCATTTAGTGAACATTTCGAATGGAACTGGGCTATAATAGCTTAATTTTTTACTACAGTTGCAGCTCCTTTTTTTATTACATCAATCATGGCAATGGCACACTAAGTTCTCGTTCTATCGTATCTCAAATATACTTGGTCAGCATTTTTCCCGGTGCCACTTGCGACTGTCAAGGGTTTCTTCTCTTTGGACTCCCCATGTCTCGGAAAAATTTGAGGGACTCCAATGTTACTGCTATTACGCCTACCGCTGGGTCATTGGCGCCAACCCCGCTGCCCACAAACAATGCGTCTTCGTTTGCTCCATTAGATGCTGCTGAGGCGAAGGAAAGTGTCTAAGAAGTCGCTCGGCGCGATATTCCGTACAAGCTGTGTAACGAAACTTTCAATCTATGCGCACCTAGTTCACATCCATTTCTATAAGAAGCTTGAATAAAATTCGGCTAAAAAAAAAGACAGATCACAGAGCTTGCAACTCTTCCCAAGTTTATGTTAAGTTATTACGTTAAAAGCAATACGATGTTTCTCATCGTATTACTTTTAGCACAACAAGCCAGCTAAGCGATGGATGACCCTACGTGAGCCGAAGCTGAAGCGTTCAATATATTATCTGTTTTGTCATTGTACAAATAATGTGCACATAAGAGTAGACACGACGGCATAGCACAGGCAGGCAGGCCTGCTGCCGGTTTTCCAATACGTATATGATCAGAAAAAGGATTGAAGGCGTTTCGTGAGAATCTCCCGCCAGCTGCAACTACCGTATACAGAAAAGTGCGTCTAGCATGTACTGACCTTAGACGTAGAGTATTTCGGATTGGACGTTTTCGATACATCTTTTAAGTGAGAGATCCTTCGTTTAAGGAAAAGCAAAAGCGAAGCATAAGAAACTGCTCTCAACGAAAAAACTTCTGTCACGATTGCTTTAACTTTAATAAAACCATATAACGAAATAACTGTTAGTGTATATGTCGTTGGTATGATCCGGTGTATATGCGAAGAGATTTATCTGCTCTAGTTAGGCGTTTGCGATCAGCAGTCATCTCAACATCTGATTCAGCTTCATGCGGCAGAAGGAATGGTAGTTGATGGGAAAGGAAGCTAACTAGATGTTCGTTTATTTGTTGCCATAATAACCGGTGTACGTCTGGTAATTCATCATTAGACATGGTCCTATGAAAGGCATCAGTAACATCTAGTATTGTACTTCTCGCCAAGGCTAGACTTCGTGGATATCGTCCGGCAACACGCCTGTCTTGCAAAAACACAGAGGCTCGCATGTTATCAAAGTCCCTGCGCGTCGAGTCCGACCGCGTCGTCCACACGTTGCCTCGCTATTTTTTTTTGACATATGCAGCTGGTATATTTTCGTAGATTCGTACAGCTGGCTACAGTGAAGGCAATCACATTAAGTTTGATGTGTGAAACACATTGTGACGAAAGTCGCGCGGCTGCGGCCGCTGGCATTGGTGCCATTGCAGTGTCCTGTCGCGACTACCCTCCACTGGTCATCTATGTTAATATCAAGCTGTGCGCTAGTGGACCTGGCAGTTACCGCTGACGTCGATGACGCTGGAGTAGGACAAGCGTATCCACAACAAGACAGAACACATTGCGGGCAGTTAGTCCATGTTCTATTCAAGTGGTGACTATGACAATGATGAAAAGCAAAGGAAAATCCTTACTGACTAGTACAGTAAGATGTGTGTCCGCCGAGTAAATACGCCGCTTTTTTTTTAATGTAGGAACAGGCTTTTTTTGACGGACTGGAGACGGTTGAAGCTGGCCTTGCTTACGACCCATAACGTGTACTGCATGTCAGTTAGTATAGAGCCAACTATAACTCTTTGTCCCATGGATTTCATTCGGTCATTGCTGCTGAGGAGAAATAACGTATTTAAGGCAGACAGTGTGGGCGGTGATGCAACACTACACCACATAGGTACATTTGTCGTTCTTCAAAAACATCTATCATATAATAACAACGATAAAGATACTAGCTCGACATCAGAATATATTCTTCCTTGATCTCTGCATTAATTACAACAGTCATAACCTAATGCGTGTATTAGCAGAATCCGTCTTCAATTCGGACACGGCTCATGAGAAGACCGACCCTGTCTACGTACGCCTCTACCCCAATCTACCCCAATAACCAAATAGTTGTAAAGGGATTGCCAGTTCGAACATACATTTACGAATATCAATGAGACCATTGTATACACCACTAATTACTAATTATCACCGAAAAGCTATAAATTTCGCGCCGTTCGTCTGTAGAGACGGTCTAATGTTGTTAATACGCTTAGCATTTTTTTTTTTTTTTATATATTTTAGTCATTAAGCTTATTTTCACATCAGACCTATTGGCGCCGCAACGGCCCTCTCAAGTCGAGAAAACCGAGACCATATCATGAATAGATACTAGAGTTATAATTAGCGTTTGTTGTGGCAGCGCGATGCTCACTAAGAGATCGAGACCTACCGATAAGCCGTCCGGCCTCGTATCGCCCGAATCTGCCGGCTTCAACGAGCGCCACTATGGACGTTGCTGCCGTTGCTATTTGAAGTGAAAGTGATTCTGTGCCAACCAGACGCGTCGCGGGGAAATCTCACTTTTTCCTGGACTTGTCTTTGCTCTCTGTCTGTTCTAACTAACACGTCCGATACTGCGGCTGGCTCTCGTTTGTGCTGCCGTCAGGGCGTCTTGATAAATGAAAACGTATTTTTAAGATTACTGGACTATATTTCGACGTAAGTTAGTTGCCGCTGGCTGACGACGCGGCAATATACGCTGTCGTGACGTTAAGGACGGCGGGCTTTACCGATCCATTCATGTGTTCAGTGAAGAACGCATCGAGTAGCGATCGCTAAAAGCCATAACGAGAAATCAGCCATTATGACAAAAAATTCATGCAAAGACTGAGTGAGTCAACGATATAGGGACGATTGATTCCAATCAAATATGGGGAGATATTTGCCTGCGTTTTGTTTTCTACACTTGCTAATCACTGTTCACGTCCTTGTATTTGGGCTAAGAAAGAAGTGATCGTGACACTTCTACTTTTCTACGATGATGACCCACGGTGCACGCTAGCGACGCAAGCCAACAGCAGCGGATCGAGCCCGATATTTATTTATCGAGAGAAGTGTTCGTCATTTAACCAATTTTCGTTTCGTTTTCGTGCATCAGTCGTCTACGAGTTGTTCCTCGCAGCTCCTATTTATACTCATAGTGAAAACGCATTCCTGTCCAGTAGACGGCGGCTCGCAGCAAAATGTGTATATATATATATATCAGTGCATTACGGTCTAACCAACTTGACTACTTGTAAGCGTTGCCAAAATTGACCATTTTGGGTTTTTAGTTAATACAAGTAATCAGGAGTTAACCACGTTAACATCGTTCGTGCGGATGGGACTGTTATATTTAATTTTGTGACAGCTGGGCTTAGCAAGAAGTAAATGAAGTTCGTGCATGAAATTCACTTTATACAGCTAGCTTGTTTGGCTAGAGGATGTAATAAGGAGCTTTCAATTTGCCTCACAGTTGCCTGTCTGCAAATTCAGCGGATCTTCCCACATCGTGCCTCTACCCTAACATGATCATCTACCAATATTTCCAGAACTTAACTGTCCCATCGGTTGCAAGAGGTCTTCAACCTGCTAACGTTTTTCGCCTAAAATAATAGCTGAAATACATTAATCCTATTTCGTGCTACGCTCACATGGCATGCAACGAAACACTAATAGATTTTTAATGCATTTATAGCTGCTGATTACAGGTGATAGTTTTCCTATAACAAGCAACAAAAGATATTTACCAGCAAAATTTGTTTGATGTGGGTGCGCCATATTGGATGAAAACGTCGAAACTAGCATCGGAAGTGTATTTGCTTGAAAAAAAACTTAACTGTAAGCCTCCTGCTTTTGTACTCTCTTTCCGTCCATCATCGTCAGTATCAGTTGTTATCATTCTTTATCGTAGGTGATTAAGGTGATGATTTGGCTGAACATCCCAAGCGCTAAACCTTACTACAAACCATTTCTTTAGCCATTTCTAACCTGACTTGGTAAGCAGCCACCAGGAATTTATATCCCGC